AATGACCATGGAGACAGAGCCCACACATAGCTGATTCTCAAATGGGCTTTCAGAAGCTGTAAATCTTTACAGGAAGGGACTATTCGTCTACCACAAGGAACTGTTGGATGGGAACAACTTACCTTTGGGTTGGCAGCGTGGCTCCTTACCCACTAAGCAGCCAGTGTGTGTGTGTGTGTGTGTGTGTGTGTGTGTGTGTGTGTGTAAATGCTGCTGAGTCAGAATCAATTTATAGTTGACCATCCAGAGGGTTTTCAGAGGCAGTAAATCACAGGAGGAAACTGCCCACCTTGCTCCCTCAGAGCAGCTTATGGATTCGAACTGTCTGCCTTTGGGTCGGTAGTGACATTCCTTTCCATTAAAGCCTAAACCACCAGAGTTTCATAGGGTTTGGTGTGTTCTGTGGTGCATTACTAATCAAAAGGTTAGTAGTTCAAATCCATAACACCTCCAAGAGTCACAGATGAGTAGTTTCCACTCATGAAGATTTACTGCTTCGGAAATACAACAGATCCACTATGTGTGGAAATCAACCCAGTGATAGTGGGGAAATTATATACATATATATGGTGGCCTAGTGGTAAGATGCTGCACTGCAATCCCAAAGGCACATGGCTTGAATCCTGCAGCACATGCTCTGCGGAGAAGGATGATCTCTCTCTTTCCAGGCAATTTATTGTCTTGGAAAACCTTCTGGAGGGGGAGTCAGTTATGGGTTGGTTCCAATTTGATGGCACACAACAACAAATATATGTATAAATGTAGAGATCTCTGTGGTCTAACCCATGGAGAGTTGTGCTACTAAACCACAGGCCACTTCTCTTGTGGTTTACACCCACCAACAACTCCAGGGGGAGAAATGGGCACTCTCTTCCTGTGCAGTTTACTTAGAAATGCAATGGAGGATCAGCTCTGATATGGTTCTGACCCAACAGCCATGAGTTGTGGTTAAGAATATACATAGCAGAGTCGACACCAATTCAGCAATTTCCCCAGGTCCAGTTCAGTGACACCGATTACACTCTGCAGTTGGAAATTACATCAGCATCTGAAAGTCCACGAATGGTAGATAGAATCAAGCTTGCTTGCTCATCAGCAGTTCTCCTATTTGTTTGAGGTTGGGTTTTTCACCCCTAAGAATAAAATCAAATAAAAAGCAGGAAGCAGAATGTTAGTCACTCTGTCTACAGCCCCTCCCCTGCCTGTGGCCTCAGGGGACCTTTTTTCCTCCAGGCATCCAAACTTGGAAACAGCCAACTTGGAAAACACTTTGAAAACAAAACATGACATGAGTCTAAGCTTCTAGGCTTATTTTCTTCCCAGCCCTGGTACAGTACCTTCTTCTGTTCTGTAGCATCAACATCAATTACGAATAACAACACTGATGGTAAGTTTTGTTTCAGAGACGACTATTTAAAATACATTTGGACTCAAATACAGAGGAAAATACCTAGAATAACATCAGTCATATACCTTGAATAACATTGGTCATCTACACTTTGAAGGTCTAAAAGCCATGTTTTAAATCACAAACAACCTCCCTTCCCTTTGTCAGCATAATAACTTTATTATCTTATCTGCCCACATACATTTTCATTTTTCAGTAGTTTAGCATCTTCATATCACATAAAGAGTAAACTAGTCTGAATTGTCATCAGTGCCCAATTACCTGCTCTCCTGGGGCAAAAACATAACAGGGAATAAAAACATCACTTGCAAACTGTTCCTAGGAAGTGAATCTGGTAACCAAATGTCATAGTCCGTAGATTTACCACATTTTGGGCAAAAGAGTGTTCCGAAAGACTGAGTCACTACTCTAAAATGTCCATGTTTCCACTTCCATTCAGACTTCCTGGCTCTATGATCCGATATTCCTTCATCTTCTCTGTACCCTACACCTCCCCACTGTCCCTCATGCAGGCTCTGTGAGGTTAGAGACCCCATCTGCCCCTCTAGCACTGGACCTCCTGCATCTACAATAGAACATTGTACAAGGTGGTGTTACGTGCCAACTGAACTCTGTCTTATCCTGTGCCATCCTCTTCATCTCTGACAATAACTGAGCCTATTGCTGCAGTCACTTTGTTCATCTGTCTCATTGCTCAATGAGAAGAACCAATGTCTTTGAATTGTAGTGTGGGAAAAGAGTGCATCTCAGTGAAGTACAGCCAGATGTTCTCCTTAGAGCCATTTGCACGAAGTAGGCAAGCAATATTGGAGGCATGAGCAATTCATCTTGCAGACCAGTATAAAATAGAATAAAATATATCTGCTTAACAGTTTGTAATACTTCTTTTTCACACTCACCCTAGGTGGTGGTGGTGGTGGTTGTGCAACATCCAGTTGAAACCAATAACTGACTTTCAGAGAGTTTTCAGAGACTTTAAATCAAACGGAGGACATTGACCCATTATCTCCTGAGAAGCTGCCGGCAGATTCAAACTGCCTGAGAGATGCCACTTAAGGTATCACCTTAAGTGGCAAAACACCCTGTAAACTACACTGAGTTTCCCAGCAAAGAGTACTCCAAGCCCACCCTGGTGGAGTTGTGCATGATGTTTTGGTCTACTAATTAGCAAAATACTACAATGAAATGTGCGAGGAACTAGAGTCAGAAAATCAAAAGGGCCAAACTTGCTCAGCATTTCTTAAGCTCAAGGAGCTGAGGAACAAGTTCAAACCTAGAGTTGCTGTAATCAAGGATGCTTTGGGCAGAATATTAAATGATCCAGGAAGTATTAAAAAAAGATGGAAGGAATATACTGAGTCATTATATAGAAAGTAACTGGCAGATACAGAGGAATTTAAAGAAATAACATATGAGCAAGAGCCTATGGTGATGAAGGAAGAAGTTCAAGCTGCTTTGAAAGAAATAGCAAAAAGTAAGGCCCCAGGAACAGATGATATACCAATTGAACTATTTCAGATAACAGATGTTGCCCTGGATGTGCTCACCAAGTTGTGCCAAGAAATCTGGAGAACAACCACTTGGCCAACTGACTGGAAGAGATCTATATTTGTTCCCATTCCAAAGAAAGGTGACCCAACTGAGTGTGGAAACTACAGAACAGTGTCATTGATTTCACATGCAAGCAAGATTCTACTGAAGATTATCCAAAAACGATTAGAACAGCACATCAGCAGAGAACTGCCGAAAGTCCAGGCGGGGTTTAGAAGGGGTCGTGGTACTAGGGATATTGTTGCTGATGTTAGATGGATCTTGGCTGAAAGCAGAGAATACCAGAAGAATGTCTATCTGTGTTTCATTGATTATGCAAAGGCATTTGACTGTGTGGATCATAACAAACTGTGGCTGACTCTGAGAAGAATGGGAATCCCAGAAAATTTGACTGTGCTAATGCGAAACCTGTACTTGGATCAAGAGGCAGTCGTCAGAACAGAGCAGGGTAACACTGCATAGTTCAAAATTGGGAAGGGTGTACGCCAGGGATGCATCCTGTCTCCATACCTTGTCAACATGTATGCAGAGCAGATTATCCGAGAAGCTGGGCTCTATGAGGAGAATTGTGGCATCAGGATTGGTGGAAGATCTATTAACAATCTGCGTTATGCAGATGACACAACCCTGCTTGCTGAAACTGAGGAAGACCTCATGCACTTGCTGCAGAGGGTCAAGGACTGCAGCCTTCAGTATGGACTGAGGCTCAATGTCAAGAAGACAATGATTCTCACCACTGGACCAACTGGCAGCATCAGGATGGATGGCGAAGAGATTGAGATTGTACACAGCTTCAGTTTGCTCGGCTCCACAGTCAACACTCTTGGCGCCAACAGTCAGGAAATCAAAAAGTGTATCGCGATGGGAAAGTCTGCTGTTAGGGACCTCTCTAAAGTACTCAGGAGCAACGGTGTCTCTCTGGAGACTAAGGTGCGCCTGATACAGGCCATGGTCTTTGCAATCGCTTGCTATGCATCAGAGAGTTGGACAATGACTAGGGAGGACAGAAGGAGAGTGGATGCTTTTGAGCTGTGGTGCTGGAGAAGAGTACTGAATGTACCATGGACTGCCAGGAAAACAAACAGATTCATCTTGGAGAGGATTAAGCCGGGCTGCTCCTTGGAGGCAAGGATTCTGGGGCTTCGTCTGACATACTTTGGACATGTTGCCAGGAGGGACGGGTCCTTGGAGAGGGACATCATGCTTGGGAGGGTGGAGGGACAGCGCAGGAGGGGAAGACCCTCTATGAGATGGA